CACAGCACTGATTGCACACAGCTGTAACCAATCACACATTCACTATATAACACTCACTCAGACCCCTTTCAAACTGCCAAAGTATTGTATAGCGTTTATCACTCTCATAGCGATAGCTACTCTACGGAGCCTGTCTAGTTTTCATAGCCTTATCTTAGTCTTGCCTTGTCTGTTTTCTCGTGTTCTGATCTTTGCCTGTGTTTCTCGGATTCCCCCTCTAGTCTTGCCCTATTCGGATACTGTTTGCCCCTTCCTGGACCTTTGCCTTGCACCTGGATTTATCCCTCTAGTCTCGCCCTGTTGTTTCTGTTCGCCGATCATAGACCCACGCTAGCCCTAGGAATATTCGTGTGTCTTGACCTTATATACCTGTTGCCATTGTCTGACCCTTGCTTGTCTCTAACCATGTCTGTTAATAAAGCTTCGCACGTCAAGTCAAGTCACAGTTGATCCCCTTGAGTCAAGTCAAGTCACAGTTGATCCCCTTGAGTCAAGTCAAGTAACAGTTGATCGTCATGAGTCAAGTCAAGTAACAGTTGATCCCCCTGAGTCAAGTCAAGTCACAGTTGATCCCCCTGAGTCAAGTCAAGTCACAGTTGATCCCCCTGAGTCAAGTCAACTCACAGCGGATCTTCACGAGGCAAGTCAACTCACAGTGGATCTTCATGAGGCAAGTAAAGTCACAGTTGATCTTCATGAAGCAAGTCAAGTCACAGTTGATCGTCATAAGTCAAGTCAAGTCACAGTTGTTCGTCATAAGTCAAGTCACAGTTGATCGTCATAAGTCAATTCTGAGTCACATCAAGTCACAGTTGATCTTCATGAATCAGGTCACATCACAGCTGATGATCCAGAGTCACGTCACATCACGTCTGTTCACTCAGAGTCCTTTCACTTCCTATCTGTGACACCCAGACCCTCAGGGACTGTTCCTCAGTATCCCAGACTGGCATCCGCACACAGCACTGATTGCACACAGCTGTAACCAATCACACATTCACTATATAACACTCACTCAGACCCCTTTCAAACTGCCAAAGTATTGTATAGCGTTTATCACTCTCATAGCGATAGCTACTCTACGGAACCTGTCTAGTTTTCATAGCCTTATCTTAGTCTTGCCTTGTCTGTTTTCTCGTGTCCTGATCTTTGCCTGTGTTTCTCGGATTCCCCCTCTATTCTTGCCCTATTCAGATACTGTTTGCCCCTTCCTGGACCTTTGCCTTGTACCTGGATTTATCCCTCTAGTCTCGCCCTGTTGTTTCTGTTCGCCGATCGTAGACCCACGCTAGCCCTAGGAATATTCTTGTGTCTTGCCCTTATATACCTGTTGCCATTGTCTGACCCTTGCCTGTCTCTAACCATGTCTGTTAATAAAGCTTCGCACTTGGATCCGCACGTCTCGCGTCTCGTCAGCCCGTAACAGAATCTGAGATTTGAGACTGTATTTTGAGTTTGCTCTGTATGGAAATGTGGTATCAATTTTATGCAAGTCTTCAAATTCATTGGATAAGCGGCACAGACAGCAGCATTATAGTTCATGTTTGTTTTTCACAGAAAATTGTTGGACCCAGGACTATCGTCAAGCTCAAGAAAGAGCATGTTTCTCAACCTCTTGTATAAGTCTCTAAAAGCTGATATAGTGCTGAGATGGGTGAAGGCATTTGTGAAAAGGTTACTTCAGGTCAGTTGTGAACAGACCCCTGCCTTTGCATGTGGTGCATTATTCCTCGTGTCAGAGGTGATGAAGAACAAGCCAGGCCTCAAGTTACTGCTACAGGAGGAGCGGGTAAGTCTACACGTACCCTCACAATCTACATATTGTGTTGTGTTTAGGCAGAGATTTTCTTTTTATATGAGGAGATGGCAACCTTTACCATTGGAGAAAGTGTGACGGTCAACTTAAATACAAGTGTGCCTCGTAAAACAATGACATTATAGCCTTAACTATAGTCATTAAATTGCTTTTGGAATTCTACTAGTCAATCACTGTTTGTGGATATCATAAAAATGAATGAGTATTGCTGTAAGCAGAATGCATCCCGTCACAATATTGTCTGTGACTTCTCTAATAAACAGCATTTCTTGTTGTAAACTCTAACTCTGGAAACACATTGACAGGGTACCAGTTTGTTAAGCGATAAGCTATTTCCTCACAAAAGCAGTTTATTCATGCTACTGAAGCCTTCCCTCTCTGCAGGATGAGGAGGAAGAGATGTATCAGGACCTCGAAGAGGATGTTGATGATGACAGCATTGCTGAGGAGGGACTTGTGGGTACTGACAAAGATGAAAAAATACAGAGTGTGAAACAATGCCAGATGAAGCCCACTGCATCATGGGTACATCATCAAAACATGGAAGGTGAGTCTTGTTCATGTGCCTGTCACAATAATTATTAAACAATATTTTTTTTACAATATTTGTGTTTAAATGCATGTTTGTTTACATAAAAAGGAATGTGTCCAACATTTTAGCCAGTCACACTGCTTCTGTCATCTGTTTTGTTCTGTGTATATACACCAATCAGGCATTACATTATGACCACTGAGAGGTGAAGTGAATAACACTGATTACCTCTTCATCATGGCACCTGTTAGTGGGTGGGATATATTTGGCAGCAAGTGAACATTTTGTCCTCAAAGTTGATGTGTTAGAAGCAGGAAAAATGAGCAAGCGTGTGGATTTGAGCGGGTTTGACAAGGGCCAAATTGTGATGGCTACATGACTGGGTCAGGGCATCTCCAAAACTGCAGTTCTTGTGGGGTGTTCCCGGTCTGCAGTGGTCAGTATCTATCAAAAGTGGTCCACTGAAGGAACAGGGGTGAACCGGCTTGTCACAGGCGGCGACAGGGTCATGGGTGGCCAAGGCTCATTGATGCACATGGGGAGCGAAGACTGGCCTGTTTGGTCTGATCCAATAGATGAGCTACTGTAGCTCTAATTGCTCAAAAATGTAATGCTGGTTCTGATGGAAAGGTTGTCAGAATACACAGTGCATCGCAGTTTGTTGCTTATGGGGCTGCATAGCCGCAGACCAGTCAGGGTGCCCGTGCTGACCCCCGTCCACCACCGAAAGCACCAACAGTGGGCATGTGAGCATCAGAACTGGACCACGGAGCAATGGAAGAAGGTGGCCTGGTCTGATGAATCAAGATTTCTTTTACATAACGTGGATGGCCGGGTGTGTGTGCGTCGCTTTCCTGGGGAACACGTGGCACAAGAATGCACTATCGGAAGAAGGCCAGGCAGTGTGATGCTTTGGACAATGTTCTGCTGGGAAACCTTGCGTCTTGCCATCCATGTGGATGTTACTTTGATTCATACCACCTATCTTAATATTGTTGCAGACCATGTATTCCCTTTCATGGAAACGATATTCCCTGGTGGCTGTGGCCTCTTTCCGCAGAATAATGCACCCTGCCACAATGGTTTCGGGAATGGTTTGAGGAGCACAACAATGAGTTTGAGGTGTTGATTTGGCCTCCAATTTCCCCAGATCTCAATCCAATCGAACATCTGTGGGATGTGCTGAACAAACAAGTCCGATCCATGGAGGCCCCACCTCACAACTTACAAGACTTAAAGGATCTGCTGCTAACATCTTGGGCTGCGTTTACACTGCAAGTCTTAATGCACAGATCCGATCTTTTGACCATATCCGATTTTTTGGCACGTCTGTTTACATTCACTTTTGACACGACTGGTATCCGATATCTGTGTTTACATTAGCCTAATTCCCACCCAAAAGGATTGTCTGCAGTGATCGCTTTACTATGCACACGGTAGACCATCGGGTTTTAAATGGCCGTGCTTTTAAAATTATTTATATAATTCACGTCGAATGGCCATTATTATTTGCCAGCATGGACAACGGCTGTCACCGCCGTTGGATGTTTTGCAGCACAAAATCTGACTGAACGGATAAAGACTGGAAAATAACGGTAATTTTAATTTGTTAGACTGTTTTGGCAGCAAAAGGGGGACCAACACAATATTAGGAAGGTGGTCATAATGGCATGGACATGTTATGTCTGATCGGTGTATATAGTCACAGAATCACCATTTTCCTGATCGATCATTGCTGCCACTTTCAAGTACTTGAGTACATAGGTACCCCTGCCCATTAAATATTTACTTTTTTGACATTCCAATTCTAATGTCTGCATTTTCTTAAGGATTAAAAATTGCTCTTTGAAAGGGTGTACTTGATTTCTTATGCTGTTACATTGTCATTATGTCAGTGACAAAATGGTCTTAAAATAACAATAATGTAATTTATCATATTTCTAGTACAGTTTATTGTCTGTGTTATTGTGACAGGCCTACTGATTTTGTAAAGCTGCCTCCACATGCCACTTTTTATGAGCCTTTTTCTTTATTGCAAACCTTTCTTGTCTTCAGGTAGTTTAAATAAGGTGACATATGACCCCATGAACAGAAACCCTTTATACTGCGGGGCTGATCATACGGCCAGATGCAGCTGACACAGAATAGCATACGCTGTTTACGTCCAGCGGATATTCTCCAAAATGGCACCAGGGTGATGCAGAGGTGACGAATTGTTGAATAAAGTCTTTTTTTTTTTTCTTTTGCGCACAAAAAGTATTCTCGTAGCTTCGTATAATTGCAGATGAACCACTGATGTCACATGGATTATTTTACAGATCTCCTTGCTATGTTTCTGGACTTGGGAACATTTCAGTTGTGTTGCTGTCTATGCAGGGTCAGACAGCTCTCAGATTCCATCAAAAATATCTTAATTTGTGTTCCGAAGATGAACAAAGGTCTTACGGGTTTGAAACGACATGAGGGTGAGTAATTAATGACAGAATTTTCATTTTTGGGTGAACTAACCCTTTAATCAATTGCAGTGTAATTTTGTCTCTTTAGAAGGTTTCAAATTTACCAATTGAGTTGCTGTGCTTATGTAATGATTAGGGATACACCGATACCACTTTTTCCAGTACTCGCCTGATACCGATACTTTTATTTTTGGTACTTGCCGATACCGAGTACCGATACCAATATTTTTATTGCATTTGTAAATTTTTTTAATATTGGGTACAGAAACCAAAAGGGTATGTATAATGTTAGTTGGTTAACTTCATTTATCAAATAGATACAGTCAAACCAAAATGTATTCAGACACCTTCAACATTTCTCACATTATCACAGTTTACTCGCTATAGTTTAGAAAATGGTAATAAAACATGACTCACAGTTTATTTGCTATAGTTTAGAAAATGGTAATAAAACATGACAAGAACTCAGAGTTAAACTGTGTCAGAACAAATTCATCTTGATAATGCTAGATAATTTTGATAGAAAGGTATGTAATAGATTACAATCAACAACCAAAAATTAGACAGCTGTTAGTATGACAGTATTTACACAACTATCAATACTTAGTCGGGCAACCCTTAGCCTTAATGACAGCCTGTAGTCTCCTGGGCATGCTGTCACCCAGCTTCATGCAAACCTCAACTTAAATTTTTTTCCCAAACTCGATCTGAATAATTTTTGGTCCCAAATTTTTTATCAGTTTTACTGCTAGTCAACTGTATGAAGAATATTTGGGTATAATTTATGACAGTTTAGTTTATTTTGCTGTCTTCACTTACATAAATTAACGATAGTGTCCTGCACCCACTAAAAAAAATATCAAAAATTATATCTGGTCTCTGAATCATTTTTGGTTTGACTGTATATCCTTCGGTTATTTTCACACTTAATTATGCCCATTAAAATGTATTTTACAAGTTTTTGTTACTTTCACTGTTCATTTGCTCTATGGTACATCATCTTTAATTTAACAGCATTAGAGCTGCTCCATTGCAGCGGCTCAGTACTGTAATCACGCGCTTTGCTGTAATAATGCAGGGAACCACTCGCTATAAATCTCCTAACTGTGATATTTTCAGAAAGAGAAGTCACGTTTTTTCATCTGAAACGTGCTGCGATTTATATTCCAAAGCCACTCATATAATGCACAAACACTCAAGCAAGCAAAACACGCGCAACGCCTGCACGTATCTGTACTGATGCAGAATGAGAGGACAGTAGTACAGCCTAGCACATTTCACACAGGCTGCTAGATTCACTTTCGCTAGAAAGTCGTGTATGCCTAAGGTTGAAAATAAATGATGATTATAGTGAATGCCCCTATGAATGGTTTTATTTGTACGATTTCGTTTTAATTCAAATGATGCGTGCTAAGTGAGCGAACATCAATAAAGATCACACAACAGAAGTGCGCGCGCGCTCTCTCTCTCTCT